AATGCGTCGATGAAACAAGCCATAAAMAAGTTATGCCCCCCCTCAAAAAAAAAAAGGTGAAGCGAAAGGATGCAATTGAATAGAAGAACAAGGATACAAACAATTCAATGAATAAACAACAAAGCCTCATATCGAAAACGTGAAACACAAGCACTAAGAAGAAAAACCACAAAAATAATACAAACAAAAATGAGCACAAAAAATCAAGAGAAATTGCAAAGAAAGAATAGAAAGAATAGAAAGAATAAACCGACGAGAAAGCACCAGTAAGCCGGTTCAAATAAACATTGCGCATTATAGATACTGTACCTTGTTATACTCTTCCTGTGAATCAAATCGTTCACGTTGAATTCTTGTGACATACAAGACATCAGTATCGTGTATGGCCTCCATTAGACTGGTATATTCCTCCTAAGATATCCACAAAACAAGTGATATTCACTATTAGAAAGAATAGAAAGAATAAACCGACGAGAAAGCACCAGTAAGCCGGTTCAAATAAACATTGCGCATTATAGATACTGTACCTTGTTATACTCTTCCTGTGAATCAAATCGTTCACGTTGAATTCTTGTGACATACAAGACATCAGTATCGTGTATGGCCTCCATTAGACTGGTATATTCCTCCTAAGATATCCACAAAACAAGTGATATTCACTATTAAGCTTGTTAATACTTGGCACTTATTCATTTCGACCCATCTATTCCTCTATTCTCTCTGTTTAACATGGATGGGTCGAAATGAATAAATGAATAAAAAGGAGTGAAAAAATGAAAAAATGACTGACGGAATACAACATTGCCAAATAAATGGATGAATGAATGAGAGAAAGAAAATGAACAAAGTTGAGTGATGACTGATGGACTCGGAGTAATGGCAGTCAAGGACCTTATCTGAGCCAAGCCAGTTGATCCGGGAAAAAATAACAACGATCTATTCAAGCTTAATTTGACAAGCTCACCATTGAAAAAACCGTACCTGTACAATACCTCTCTGTCGTACATACTCTTTGACCGAGTTAGGCATCTGAAGTGACGGTGGAGACACGTACCGCAATGTAACACGGTATAGACAGAGTAATCGAGCTAAAGAGTGAACTGTTCGACCATTTTTCAAGTCGCCTATCATGGTTACCTGAAAGAAAACAACGCTCACATGTGAATAAAGCAACACCACGTTTATACATGCAGTGGAACCTCGTTAATCCGGCCTTAGAAGAGTAGAAGAGAAAAGTGGCCGCATTAACGGAGTGGTCGGATTACCCGAGTAGAAAAGTATGGGTGCTTTTATTCTCCGAGACCTAAAAACTTGACCGTAATGACGGGGTGCCCTKAACATGGTCGTAATGCGGGGCTCCAACGACCATGAAACAATTTGTACGGATTATACTTGTAGACTATARCCCAGTACTCTATAGATTATTCTAGAATAATATCTTATAATTATTAACTATTCTTTTCAAATCTAGTTTGTGTTACGAGGATTTCTTACCGTTAACCCATTCACTGTACCGATTTCTTCTCTGATGGTAAAGACATCCAGCAAAGCTTGTGTTGGGTGTTCACCTACACCGTCACCGCCATTAATCACGGGCTTATGACAGTTCCTTGCTGCTTCCTGTAATACAAATCATACAGTGACATAATACCATACTTAACGACTAGACCGCGCGGTCGAGTGATGCACGAATTTATAGTCCAGAGACCTTACTCGACTGAATGGACTATTATTAACTCAAAGTTCACTAGACCGAGTTTTGGGTGTCCACCAAACTCTAGGCAAATTTGAAAAAAATACGCAGTCAAGGACTGCATGTGGCTAGTGCAATGAAATTATAATTAAAATTGTGCATTATAGCAAAAGAAAAAGAAAGAAACAATATGAAT